TCCCTTTGTTTTATAAGATGGTTAGTGTTGCTGTAAAGAATTTCTATGGCAGATCATTGATCGTTTTGTGCAATTTTACAGTTTCCTGTAGATGCGCAAATGTTTGTGTAAATTCTAATCTGCCACACATGACCCGGCTGTGAAGGATCTGGAATGCAGCGTTTATTTTGACTTGGGATATTAGAGAGCAGTGTTTGTTTACTGCTATTGTCAAAGCTTTGCATTGCTTTAAATACTACAGGTATTTGTATAGGGTCAACAATTTGCACATCGCTTTACATAGTTGCACATTCACATCAGTCCCTGCCCTTGAGGAGCTTGCAGTCTGAGGTCCCTATCTCACATGCACACAGGGGTGATATAGACAGGAGCCAATTAACCTTCCGGCATGTCTTTGGAGTGTGGGAGGAAGCCCGAGTACCCGGAGGAAACCCACGCAGGCACAGGGAGAATATGCAAACTTCTTGTAGATAGTGTCCTGACCGGGATACAAACCAAGGACCCCCCTAGTGCTGCAAGGCAGAAGTGCTAACCACTGAGCCACTGTGCTGCTTTGTGTTTATTACGGGACACAAGTCAGCGTGAATGCACAATACAATTTGCATCTCAAAGTGGAGGTACGCTATGGCCAATCTGTAGAGTGTATTTTAAAAATAAGGTTCCCAAGACCCAGTAATACCGTGTCCTGGGATCATCTGCCCTACCATTTATGATAATTGGACCTCCTTACCATCTTGTCTTGAATTGTAATGTCTTCCTTATATTGTAAAGCACTGCGCAAACTGTTGGCGCTATATAAATCCTGTATAATAATTGGCTCATCAAAGCCGCACTGTTTGCCGGTCTCTAAATTATTATGCTGCCACCTTTCTTGTGGACGTCCTCACAGCTACCATGTAATCTGTGCGACACCGGCATCCATTCCAGCCCAGAAGATGGGAGGACTGGGGACACCGGCTGTCATGTGACCATTGCTTGGTGTTAGGATTTCTATTTATGAACTGTCATCAGCAGAACAGGTGTCCCCCAGTGGAAGACTCCCCCCTTGCCTCCTGTTCTAGTGACAACTGTAACATTTTTAGATTTCCCATCATTTTCTGTCCTTTTTTTTTTTTTTGCACTTATCAAACCGATATTTAAAAAAAAAAAAAATGCTTCCAATTGTATATTAAACAGACCAAAAGGGAGCAAATAAGAGAAGTTCTTTAGGGATTACATTCAAGCAAGTTTTCTAAAGATGGTAAAGGATAATTCCACATTGCCAGTGGATTTGGGAAAATGGAAGTACCCCCCACCAATATTAAACCTCTGCTGCTGTTACTTAACAACGGTCGCTTCTTCCCCTCCACGGCTCCCAGTGTAATATCCGTACACTGATTGCAGCCCTGCGGTATGTATATCAAATTTAATTTGCAAATGGTAAGCACTCATTGGTCAGCACAGTTCATGTTACATGTGAACTTTAATAGGGTCCCCATAGCAGGAGAAGATACTTTTCTGAGAAGATACTTTTCTGAGATGTACATACTGATTCTCGCCGTCCTCTGATCTTGGGTTGAACACCAGTTCCCAGCCGTTGACACTCATCCTAATTAGCTTAATTGTGAATTACATCACTGATGGGGTGGGGGGATTGAAGCGGTACGGCTGCCAGTAGCAATGACTTCTGAGAAGGGTCGGTTCACTTGTAGCAGATGATGTTGTAATGCGAAATGCTTTCTGCTTAAAACAAGCTGCTTGGCGAAATGTTTTCAAATGTTCCGTTTATAAAATGATAAAAATAGCCAGCGGATTGTAATGCAGAATCTAATTTCTTTAATCTGAAGTTTTGGAAAACACAAAAAAATATTTGCGCCGAAGAATGTTAATAGATGTGTTGGAACATTTACGCCACGGAAATTATACAGATTATTTCCAGAAATTGGATTTTATAAACGGTAATGCCCAAAAATAGTTTTACCCCAACAGTCGCCAATCATCACCCAGGGTGTGGAAACACACATCCCCAATCCATTGGAGCCAGGAAACCTCTCCATTCTACTGATCTTCAACCTCACCACTGCTAGCAAGAATAGGGAGATGGGTGCAATGTATTGGTGTATCTAAAATCCCAACCTGTGGGCCAGAGGCAGCATTTGGCTTTTTGGGATTTTTTTTTTTTTTTGTGCACAGCCCTTGCAGACACTAGTCTGTGTTTCCTTATTGCCTTGTTATAGCAGCGGTCTTTAGAAGTCTTATGTAATGTGTCTCCAGTATACTCCTATAGCATATAGCTCTTATAGCAGTCTCTGACCATCTCCCTGTAGGATGACTGCAGTCTCTGACCATCTCCCTGTAGGATGACTGCAGTCTCTGACCATCTCCCTGTAGGATGACTGCAGTCTCTGACCATCTCCCTGTAGGATGACTGCAGTCTCTGACCATCTCCCTGTAGGATGACTGCAGTCTCTGACCATCTCCCTGTAGGATGACTGCAGTCTCTGACCATCTCCCTGTAGGATGACTGCAGTCTCTGACCATCTCCCTGTAGGATGACTGCAGTCTCTGACCATCTCCCTGTAGGATGACTGCAGTCTCTGACTATCTCCCTGTAGGATGATTGCAGTAAAATAGACAAATGGAGTGTTACAAACATGAAGTTGACATGAGAATAAAGCTGCATGCACAACTTTCTGCAATCACACTGCCCTGGAACGCATGGCATTGCAGTACTTTGTGTTCCAGTGCGGGGAAATCACACTGTGGGTGGGTGGGAGGCTCATTTGGGGTGCTATTGAAATGAAATGGCACTGCAGCGCAACTCCTGCAGCAGAATTTGTCAGGCCGAAAAAGAAAATAACTTTCCACCTTTTTTAAAAACAAAAACAATTTTTAAATGTATTGTAAGCACATGGTGCTTGAATGGCTTCAGCCAGGAAATGACAGCTGCCAGGGGCAAGATTCCGCAGACGTCAGCTGAATGTAAATACAGCTGGTAGTGGGCTGGTGCAATAGCCAGCCTGCTATTAGCCATTTCAGATTGCAGTAGCCAATAGCAGCCTGGCTATTGCACCCGCCCACTGCTTGCTGTGCCCTCCTAGTGTGGAGAGAGCTAGGGGATCCGACCAACTAATCGATAATGAAAATAGTTGACAACTATTCTCATAATCATTTATTATCGGTTAATCGATTAGTTGGTTGTAGCCCTGCATCACTTCTGGCTGTTTATCCACATGATGCAAAGATTTTGCTCGTCATTGTAATATCTTCTGAATGAAGTTTTTTCACATTCCTGCATGTATACTCATCTAATGATCCTTTTTCTTTCTTTTATAGGCCAGTTATCCTACTTGGGAGGATTTCATTAGCAAAGCTATAAAGCTGCAGTCACAGTTGAGGTGAGTCTGTTTTTTTTATATGTGTATATAGAGAAAAGATATAAAAATGCCTTTAACAAAACATTTGACACGGTACACAATACTTGGGTGAGGTAGAACGCCATGCAAAATGTAAAGCAGAACTCCAGGTAGAATTTTTTTAACCCTTGCAGTGGGGGCTACCCATGCACTGCAAGGGTTAAGTGCTCATTTTTGTGTAGGTTAAAAAATAATGGTTATACTATCTGGTATAATGGTTACACCCGATCCTCTTTAAACTGGTCCCTTCCGCCTCGCTCCCCCTCCACTGCAGCTGTCTAAGGTCCCGCAAGTCATCACGGTCTCTACACTGTGTATAGGACGTGAGGACACCGAGGGACATACCATTGCTTCAATGGAGGAAGAGAGAGGCTCCAAGGACCGGTCTAAGAGGAAGTCGGCTGCGCAGATCGGGTCAGTATAACTGTTACTTTTGATACAGATCGATTAATTATTTTTTAAAGGAACTATGGGGTAAGGTTTTTCCCCCATAGTTCTCTTAAGGGTAACGGGAGGACACAAACGAGCGTCCTCCCGTCACCCAAAGCTCAGTATACCGCGAGCTACAGCTTGCGGTATACTGAGACGCCGGAACGGATCACGACAATTATGTCTGGATCCACCCAGCTGCGTGAGTGACAGCTGGCTCTGCCTATCTAGAGGCAGAGCCAGCTCTACCCGCCCCCTCCCCCATCCGCTCCGCCAGTCAGTGCTGGAGGATTGGACAGGGGAGGGGGGAATCCCAGTCTCTCCCCTGTCACTGCTCTCTGCCGCCACAGGATCGAGAAGTGAGGGAACGCCGGTATGTGTTCGCTCACTTCACAATCTACTGAGCCGACCTGCGGCAGTTTCATTGTCACAGGTCGGCTCAGATTATGAGGTTGAGTGAAAATCACTCGCCTCATAATTCTCTAACTTTAACAGTGTGACAACGCTTGTCTTTCTGCAGTGAAATCACACAGCGGCATTGTCACTCAGGACAGGGTAGTCATAGATACTTTAAGTGACAAACTAAGTTCAGCTTTTTGCAGCCACTCTTGGCAGTATTTTTATTTGTTCCAACCTCTGTCTTCTACTTTTGCTGGCCAGCTTGACCCGCATGTAAATGTGGAGAGAAATATAGATAAAGGCAGGTGGAATTTAAAAAATACAAATGTTTGCAATTTTATGTATTAATCGCATGAAGATGACAGAATACAATCATTTTCACTATAGTGCCCCTGGGAATGTATAAGGGATATATTCTCCGAGCTCGTAGCAGGGGGAGAAGCTAAGAGGGGCGATCCTTGTAATTTTGTCTATGCTCCTTCATAGAGCCCAGTAAGTAAACATCTGCTTTGTAAAATCGCAGTATCACCCTGATGCTATTGCAGAGCAGCCAGGCAATATATATATATTACAGTGATGGCGGGACAGGATTACAAATATTTGGCCGCTAAAACCTTATTATCTATTGGCTGGAGCACCGCTTTAACCTTCCTTGCCAATAGCGATTTTTGTCTTTTGAAAGACAGAGTTCTGTTCCAGGGCAGGTGTCAGACTTTAACCGCTCCAAAACCGTGTCACTGTGTAGGAGTGATATGAGTTATGGGTCTGCTTGTAATTTTCAGCCATAGGAATGTAATCGCATATGTACAGCAGCATGTAAGTAAGATGTGGACGCTTTTTCAGACTTAAGCCAAAGAAGCATTGTGGACTTCCGACACTGAGGCCAATGTCACAGAGGAGATTAGGAGATAAGGAGAGAGTTTGCCAGCGACAGGATCGCCTACATGTACAGGGAATACCTGCTTCTACACTCACAGGCCACTTTATTAAGTACACCTGTTCAATTGCTTGGCAACACAAATTGCTAATCAGCCAATAGCATGGCAGCAACTCAATGCATTTAGGCATCTAGATGTGGTGAAGACGACTTGCTGAAGTTCAAACCGAGCATCAGAATGGGGAAGAAAGGGGATTTAGGTGACTTTTTGAACGTGGCATGGTTGTTGGGGCAAGCCGGGCTGGTCTGAGTATTTCAAAAAATGCTGATCTACTGGGATTTTCACGCGCAACCATCTCTAAGGTTTACAGAGAATGGTCCGAAAAAGAGAAGATATCCAGTGAGTGGCAGTTGTGGGGACGAAAATGCCTTGTTGATGTCAGGAGAATGGGCAGACTGGTTCCAGATGAAAGGCAACAGTAACTCAACCCCTTGTTATAACCGAGGTATGCAGAATACCATCTCTGAACGCACAACACGCCAAACCTTGAATCGGATGGGTTACAGCAGCAGAAGACCACGCCGGATGCCACTCCTGTCAGCTAACAGGAAACAGAGGCTACAATTTGCACAGGCTCACCAAAATTTGACAATGAAAGATTGCAAAAATGTTGCCTGGTCTGATGAGTCGATTTCAGCTGCGACTTTTTAGATGGTCGGGTCAGAATGTGGCGTAAATGACATGAAAGCGTGGATCCATCCTGCCTTATCTCAAGGGTTCAGGCTGGTGGTGGTGTAATGGGGTGGGGGATATTTTCTTGGCACACTTTGAGCCCGTGCTGCTATCATGTCAATATGGACCAAAATCTCTGAGGAATGCTTCCAACACCTTGTTGAGTCTATGCCACGAAGAATTAAGGCAGTTCTGAAGGCAAAAGGGGGTCCAACCTGGTACTAGCAAGGTGTGCCTTTATAAAGTGGCCGGTGAGTGTATGTGTCGATCCCTCGCTCATTGCCGATAGTGTTACAGAATGCAAGAAGTCGGTATGACATTGCTCCAGCCAACGAGGGAGGGACATGTACCAGCTGATGGAGTATTTATTTTTCCTTGCTGGGTCCCACAGCTTTCCTGATGCTGACAAATTTCCCTCGGCAGTGTGCCAGCACTTTGGTCAAGGAGACGTTCCTCGCCATTTGCATCTGTTGCAGTTGGTGGCCTTTCTTAGGACCCATGTCAATGGGCATTGGACTTTTGTGCAAGGCATCAGTTTGAGATGCTTCTGAGATCATTCAAAATTCATTGAGGGTCCGCCTGACTTGTCGCTGACAGGTCCATAGACTTGTTTAGGAATGCAAAACCTATCCAAAGCAAACAAAAACATGTCCACACAGGCATAACATAAGACATAACGTTCTACTCGTGTGGGGGTGTAAGATTCTTTAGCAGGTATTTTATTGCTGTCATTGTCTCCTCCGGGGAGATTCACACTTTCCGTTTGCCCTGGAGGCTGTTGTCACCAAGACAGAAAGTGATGGGAGTGTGTGTATTTAGGGTTGTCACCTGAGAAGGGAAGAGAGAAGACTCTTCCAATTGGGACACTAGACGACATTTTTAGGATTTGCTCTATTTGGAGAGATTTCGTCTCGCTCAGTTTTGTGTCTGGGACAGGAAGTGAAGAGATATCTACTTAAAGGGACACACTCAGCAAAAACAAACCCAACTGGGACGTTGGCCATTTCAAACGCCATTCAAAACTAATGGTTAAAAAATTGTCTTGTTAGAAATGCTGTAAAGCAATAAAGCAAATTAGTTGTTTTGCCATTTTAAGACAGAACAGGTTTTCTTTAACCTCCTAACCTTACTTTCCCCCCCCCCCCCCAACA